ATGAGGAAAATTAATTCAACTGTATATTAAAGTGAATATGTGAAATATGATTGGCTACTAACAATTAAATCTTGTATATTAAATAAATTAAATTTATGAATTGAATTATAATCAAAACAAACAAAAAGAATCATTAGTTGAATATATATATATATAATATATATATATATATGCGTATATATAAAAAAGAAAACATGCATTGGATTAAAACAAAAACCAAAAAAAAAAAAAAGCAAATTGGTAAGAGATTGGAGACAAATTAAAAAAAAAAAAATGGAAAAGTTGAATTTTCTCTCTCTGTTTTTCCATGTGGTTTTTATTTTTATTCTTTTGGTTGCTTTAATGATTTCGAAGGTGTAATTGTTTCCCTGTCTGTCTCAGGTACTGTTTGGATTAGAGGAAAAAAGAAAGGCGAGTGATGATCAGGAATCCAATAATATAATTATTGTAAACGAAGAATCCAAACAATTCTTTTGTTCTCTTTTGTCCACTTTGTTCAGGTTTCATCAGGCATGATGTTATGCGTCATCCCTTTTTATCCACCAATGGCAAGACCCGACCCGACCCAATTAACCCTTCTACCCTAACTCGATTTTTATAAAAATTTATTTTTTTGTTGATGTGATTTGATTTTAAAGATATTTTATATATATTTTAGATGATATTTTGAAACTTTTTTATGTGAAAAAATTATTGAATTTTTTATATAAAAATTTATAATCATATCAGTAATAGACTATCAAATTATTATATTAAAAAAAAACATATTTAAAGAATTGGTGATTATGTATGTTTCAGAATTAATTTTTCTAATATTTGTATAATAATTTTTTATTAATCAATATATGAAAGTTTGAAAAACCTAAGCTGCCTCTACTTCTCAGTTTTTTCACTGTAAAAATAATTCTTATCAGTGCCGGTTATCCCCTCCGGCTAAATATCTCTTGTCGATGCTTTTCTCTATTTCTAGAGCTTGATTTACTGTCACAGTTTCTGCTCTGTGCCTCTCCACTTGCAATTGCTATAAGTTGGATCTGTGTCTACGCCTTCCACCAAGTTTAAGTTTTTGTTGTGTGTATATATATATATATATAAGCATGTGTTGTGTGTATGTATATCACAAAAATG